AAAGAACAGGGTTTTGTAAAGGAGTAGCTCTGACGGAAAACATGCAACCAGCATTCGAAATTCCCCAGTACCTTACCCAAGTTGGCAGAGATTGTGCTGTGACAAGTAGTGCACTCATTACACCATGCCAATGGAAAGACCAACATGTCATGATAATTATTTTATCAATTATGTTTCAAGAGACAAGGGCATGATACATTGTCATGGTACTAAGTATCAACCACAACAAGTGCTAAGTGATTTATCAAGTTCACTCACTTCCCACAACCCACTCCAAGATATCCCATATACATTGACAGCCTCCATTTCTCATTCCCTGTTGGCTCTCCCACACTTTTTATTCATTCACAGGACGTATCACTGGCTAGCATTAGTTGCCAGCCCCTAACTATTCTTCAACTAACTGGCTTTGTAAGGCTATTGCAGAGGACAGTCAAGAGTTAGACACATTCCTGTGGGTCTGGAATCACATAGGCCAGACCAGGGAAGAATGGTAGATGAACTTCCCAAAAGGAACCAGACAGGTTTTTATGGCAATTGATGACAGTGTCATGTCAACATTACTGAAACCAGATGTATTGAATTTAAATTCCATCAGATGCCATGGTGGCATTTGAACCTGTCCCCAGAGCATTGCCTGTGCTTCTGGATTACCACCCCAGTGCCACCGGTACAGCTGGCCCAAGTATTTGATGCCCTCAGAGAACTTTGACCTTGGTGCCCCCCAATCCACATTCAATGACAGAAAAATCAGAAGTCCAGAGTGAAATTTTGGCTTTATTGAGTTTGAAGAAGAAACATACCAGACTCAAAACATTTTCTGAAGAAGGGTCTAGGCCCGAAACATCAGCCTTCTTGCTCCTCTGATGCTGCTTGGCCTGCTGTGTTCATCCAGCTCTACACCTTGCTATCTCAGATTCTCCAGCATCTGCAGTTCCTACCATCTCTCAGACTCAAAACATTAACTCTCTCCACAGAGGCTGCCAGACTTGCTGGGTTTCTCCAGCATTTTCTGTTTGTGTTTCAGGTTTCTGGCATCCACAATATTTTGCTTTCATATGTGTTCTGATCAACCTGTTCGGAGATGTTTTGACATACCATTGTAATATGTGAGACTTGACCACAAGCCTCCTTGCTACCACAGAATCACAAAAGCCTCCCCTAGTATTTTGCCTTTAGGTGTTTTTAACCAAGCAGTTCAGACACACTATGACATACCTCTGGAGCAGATAAAACTTGAACTGAGGCTTGAGCTCATAGGTAGAGACACTACCACTGTACCACAACAGCCCAGTAGTTTATTTTTATTTTAGTACTTATTTGGCATATTTAGCAGCATTTAAAACCTGGCACTTTGGATGGCCACCTAGTTCACCTGCATGGTCAAGCAGCTATAGACATCGGTTGCTCTGGTAACCAATCATATCTGCTGCCCAAATGAAAATACTGACCACATTCAGTCTCTGCTATCAAGCACAACATTTGAGGTTTAGTTTTTAACCCCCATAGCCAAGGGACACAGATAAAGAGGACCTCTGCATTCAGTTCTGTTCACCACACTTCAGAAAGTGTCATTGAGCACATGCAGTAGTTATTTACTAGAATAGTTTTGGATTGGGATGGGCATGAAGGAAGGTGGATTTTAGCAACAACGTTTGATTGGAGACACTGGGATTGATTTCCTTGGAGTTGATCAAATCTCCCTTCCAACTGCTTAAGCTGGACAAAGTGACGTCAAGATTAAATAAGGTGGAGAAAGAAAAGCTATTCCCATTGGCTGTTGGCAATAAGGACCATGGGACACAGATTTAAAGTTTCAGGGAAGAGAAAGAGAGGGTATGTGAGAAGGTATATACAACCAATAGTAGGAACCCAGTGTCCACAAGGGTGGTGGAAAAGAGGCAGTTTCTCAAAAGGAAATTAGACATGTGTACCAGATTCACCCAAACAGGCAAATAAATCTTCTTAGCTCAGTCAAAACCTCCTCAGAATCTGTGACTAATCGCTCATATCCTGCAATATTCCTGCTGGGTAAAATTAGTTGAACAGCAATCTAGAAGGTACCTTGTAGGTTGCTTATTGTACACATTCTCTCCAGCATTTCTCAAATCACAAAAGGGATATTCACCTGGCTGGAAGCAGCCGTAAAATAGGCATGATCTTTCAGGAACGAACGGTTTGTTCTATTGATGTCGTTGCCACTGGACTCTGTATTTAGCTGCTCCAAAATGGGCACACTATGGGTGCAGATGGTACGATCTACCAAATACATCACAACTCACCAAGATTAATTCCCCACCATGTCCTGATTCTGCAGCCACCAAGAATAATAATATTGGCATTATCACTTAGCATAAAATTTGAGTTCTGCTGAAGAAAATGCCAGAGACTTTTCATCTTGCACTCTTCAGGACAAATGTAAGAAAACCAAATTTCAAAGGGAACAATATATATTTCTTCAGAAAATTGGATATTGATTGATTGACAAGTGAGCTCTGGTTGGTTGAGGCAGTGCCATGGGAGAATGCAGCACAAACACTTATCCCTTGTGCTTTATTTAAATTTAATCATTCAAAATTCTATGTATTGAGCCATTCCCTGTTGCATTTCCTGATGCTGGACAGCCACCAGCCTCTGATTGGCCAGCAGCACTTGGAGGCAGGCATCCACTATGAAGATGCTGCGGACCCCATCAGCCCCAGTGGCACTAAATCAGGATGGCTGAGGCGAGTTAGGATTTTCATCACACTCACAATGAACCTTCACTGCACTGAGAACAAACCTAGCTTCTTTAATCTCTCCACATCACTGGACTTTCCTCATTCCTGGTGCCCAATCTAGCAATGATTGTGGAAATTTGTCAATCAGGCATCAACACTCCCAATTAGTTTGGCTTGAAATCATTTTTGGGCTGTAGTTAAATGCAGAACCGACTGACACACAGCAAGATCCCACAATTATACAACATCTAGATGATCTGTTTTCGGTGTTGGTTGAAATATAAAATATTGACTTGAAGATGAAGAAAAAACTCTTGACTTCAGGTAGCGCCATGGGAGATATTAGTACAATTTGAAAAACAAATTGGTTGTCATTATTCGATAACTCAACCAATCTGGCATTACAACACATTCAAATACTGTGTGCGGTCGCGGTCTAGATTTATTGCGCTCAAGTCCTGGGATCAGCCTCAGACACTGATGACTGCTGGCAGAGATGCAGACGATGTTCACACACTTGAGCAGTAACAGAGACTGAGGAGCTGAGTGCGCCCTGTTAAAGAGGAGCGTGATCACCAACACTCTTGAAAGACAACACTGCCTATGCAAAAAGGGGTATTTTTTCACTGGCTGTTGCTGGCAAGGTGACCGATCCCTACTTGGTCTTGAAGGGAGTGGTTCACATGGCTATTACTGAGGGCAGTTAAGAGAAATGCAAGACACTTGGCTGGATCTGAAAGGGGACAGATTTCAGTCACATATAGAGCATAAATTGAAACAGACTCCACAACACTGAAATCTGCCAATGGGGCCCCAGTTTATTCTGGCAGGATAACACTGTCCACAGGTAAAAAAAACTAATTCTAGAAAGTGGTTAGAACATTTAAATTATACGAAGTGCCAATCTTTATCTATTGTAGAAGAAGCAATCAACTGGCTACCAGAGGTTGCTAATGTCTCTCTTGACACCCTCCCACTGTTGGAAATGGTGAACATAAAATCAAACCTCTGCCTAGTGGCAAAGCTCCAGGAATGGGTGCTATCCAGCACATCTACCTCGCTGGAGGTCAATACCAGGTCAGGAAGTTCAACAAACTTTGTCAGTCTGTGTGGAGATGAGGCATCATTCAGCAAGAATGCAAATCCACCTTCATTGTACATCTAACAAGCATTAAGGAACTCACTGATATGCAACGGTCATTGAGGAACATCAATCATATCCACTCACCACCAGCAAAACCTTGACAAGAATCCTCATGAACTGCTTGGTGGAGCGTCTCAGATGTTGGTTCAGGTAGAGGAAGAAAAACAGAAGTTGGATTAAATGGAATATTTAAGCCTGATGAAATCAGAGGAAATGAGTGACAATCTAGAGTTGATAAGAGTGATGAAAAGAAAAAATGATCTGGAAATAGGAAACCATGGCAGGTTCCTGATCGAAAACCTTCAAACATTGTGGCAAAACATATCAATGAGCCTACTGGAACTTAGTATCTTAGGTGAGGATGGAATAGGCACAGGACAGAGTTGTAGAAAGTCAGTTCTCAAGAAAATAAGTCTGAGTTGCCACCCTCATCCTATTCTTCACCGGCTTTGTGATGAAATCGTGATCAATGACTTGACAGGCTGGATGCTGACAGGATGTTTCCCCTCGTGGGAGAAACTAGAATGAGGGATCATGGTTTCAAATTAGAGGTCTCCTGTTTGAGATGCAGTTAGGAGGATTTTTTCTTTCAGAAGTTTGAGAGACTGTGGAATATACTCTTCCCCAGAGAATGGGGGGGTAAGCCCAGTGATTATTTTAAAGGCAGAGATTGATGGATTTTTGACTAACAAGGGAGTCAAAAGACATCAAAAGGTAGGCAGGAGAGTGGCATTGAGGCCACAATCAGACAGACATAGTCTTATTGAATGGTTCAGCAGGCTTGAGGGTTGAATGGCCCACCCCTAAATTTGTATATGAATATGTTTATCACACTAATGTGTACTGTAACAACACAGGCCCCTGCATTCAGGTCTTTAAAACTCATGTTTAATATCACCAAAATTTGTTTCCGATCCCAAAGATCTCTCACACTATTTATAAACATTGTGAATCACCTGCACAATAGACCTTGGGCTAGTTCCTGGTTCAATCAGTTTTAAGAGTTGCTTTCACCAGCTTTTCCCATCAACTTATTATTAATCATTTTGAAACCATTTCAGCTTTTCATAAAATTCTAGAAAAAGTGACTCGAACTCAGAGAATCCATAGCCAATCTGAGAAAGTCCTCAAGGTTGTCAGGCTGAAAATAGATTTTATTTCAAAACTAACAAAAGTAGGCATACAGTACGAGGTAGCATAATGTGCATTGAAAATGCAGTTCGTCAGGTTCCATCATCTCTGGCACTCTCCTCACACTTAATGTGGAAATTGGATAAAATAAAATTACACCTGTGCAACTGCATTTTTACTTCCATTGGTGTACTTTTACTGTCCGTTGTTCCTGTTAGAATTGGAACTCAGCACAAACATGCACTCCTAGGACAGGTACAGCACAGGGCCAGATATAAAAGTTCCCTTTACACTGCCCCAGACATTCCCAGGACAGGCACAGCAAGATGTTAAGTACAGAGTAAAGCTCTCTCTCCTGGTGCAGACTGAGAAGAGCAGTGTGGCCTCCACAGCACTGTGGTGACCTCTTTGCAACTGTTGGCCTGTGTGCTCCCTGTGAGAGATTACTGAATGAGGGCCACTTTGCTGATATGGACCAAATCCAGCAGAAGCTGAACTGGGACTGACTGAAACTCATTATCCATTAAGATTCTTACAGCAACTGACCAGGGAGACATTGAACTTGTCTGATATCCCAATGCAAGGTAGGGCCTGCATTTAGAGATCCACGCAGCCCTACAACCTGTCTCCTAAACTGTGAACACACAGGAATGCAATCGAGGGCAGTGCAATAAACTGGGGTAAAAACAAGGATGTTGGTAACACTCATTGCCAGACACAGCTTCTGCACAAGCACCAATTTCCATCGGGTTGAATTGCTATGAGAGATAGTCTACTTGTCTCTCATGGAAATCCTGGAGTAATGGCAAAGTTTTGATCCAGAGGATATTCTGCCAAGAAAAACTCACAATGAATATTCAACCCCATGTTCACATCCTCTGCCATCACTCCCTGTTGAATGTGGCCTCTTGAAGGAAATTGATGAATGAGACTAAAGATCAGTCAGGATTCCAGATCAGTTTTTGGGTTGTGCTGGATTTTGGTCCTCAAGCTGATTCAACACTGGCCTCGAGTGAACAATTTCCCCACAGGCCTGTTAGATATATTTACAGATCCGGCTCAAATCCTCCCCATTATTCAGAGCCTTGCTAAACGATGAGTGCCAGTCTCGACTAAACACGTCCTGCAGTTGTTTTCGTACAGAAGAGCCTGTGGAGTGCCTCATTGTGCTGCTCTGGTTAACCACCAGGCCCACACCTGCTGTGTTCACAAAGTAGTCACCAGACCAGTTGGAAGTCCCTGGAAAAAACACACACAAAAACATTCTGTTTAACCGTATCCAGGGTTTTGTGAATAGTTTGGAGAGAGACACAGAGAGACGTATACACAAGAGAGACAACATCAATTTGGGAATTTCTATTTATCTCGTGTACTATTTTGAGGTGTGGCCAACGTGCATCGGCTATATACCGCATTTCCAAAGGAGAAGCTTTGAACTTGGAGCAGGAAGACTGAACGCAACATCATTCACAGGCTGGGGGAACTCAACTTCACTGTAAATTTTTGGCCCACTTATCCTATCTATGCCACCGATCATTGTGTCAGCAAACTTAAATAGTTAGCTCTTCATTGTTACTTAAAGCAGAATAAACATGGCAATCATTTGAGGCCTTAGCAGAAACATGGGAACATTAGTCACTTTCTTCTAATTTAATTGCACATCCATTATCTCTAATTACGATGTCTCCTACTGTCTAGCTAATCTCTTAACCAGGTAAATAATTTACCCTCAGTTTAATGAGCTTTAATTTTATCCAGCCATCTCTGATGCAGAACATTATCAAATACCATCTGGAAATCTATATAATTTACATCTATAAGCATCTTACTGTCTATTACTTTAATTGTTGCTTCTAAAAGAATTAAAAATTGTGCTCATTGGGCAGGACCTAAATTTTACAAGTCCACACAGAATTCTGAACTGGTTCAAGGGCCAGTGTTTGAGACACGACTTTCCCAAAACAGATGCTGGATGGACTGGTCTATAAACTTGTTGGTTTCTCGCACTTTCTTACCCTTCTGAAATAATGGAATTTCATTTGCAATTTTTTTTTGGTGGGGAGGTGGTGGTGTCCACATAGTGTTTGATTAAGCTTATCTGACTACAGATCCTTGTGGGGTACTTGATCGCTATACCCTAAAGGTGGAGCTTATGAATCAAGTGACTGACTCTTGACTCAAATTCCAGCAGGACTAAATATACTGCTCATACACATTATTGCACGTATTGAAAATTCTGCAAAAAGACTTTTAAGTCATGTAGATAAACTGTTTCAACTTAGAACTATGGTTGCATTATTCTGAGAAAAATAAGAACTCAATTCAAACACAACAGTTCAAAATATTGTCTCATTCCTAAACATAAATTTGCCATTGCTAAGTTGTAAAACCAATTGTGTGCAAGATCAGATGGCTGTTTGATTGCTTACCAATATAGGCCACTCTGTCCGTCACCATGTACTTGTTGTGATTGACACGTGCATAGGGGATACTATTTTGCTCCTGCATTGCTGGGACCGTGAAAATTCTCTGTAAGAATGAAGCAGGATGGGTTATTACTTGTTTCCATGGCAAAGCACCTCCAGTGGTGGAAGTGTTGCTGGTAGTATTGACATCTCCAGAACAAGTTAGTGTCAATGGGTTCAACTGCCTATCTAGTGCATTGCTGAGTGGCAGAGAGCAGGGCAAATAAGGACTGTGCTGAAGGAGAATCCAGGGCAGAGGCCAAGGAGTTGGGAGGAGGGAGTGCGAGCAATTAGTCATTGCAGCAATGAATGGCAGGAATCTTGAAGCTGCAAAGGACTAGACAGATTTGGGGACCCAAGGGCAGAAATCACTGCAAATTACTGGACAGCGCAAAAGATTATTTAAAAGTCTAACTGAATGTTTGACCTTATCTCAAGGGACTTAAATACAAAAGGGGTGAAAGTTATGCTGGCTCTAGATGGTGCCTCTAACTAGAATATTGTAATCCATTCTAGGTACACACCACAGGAGAGAGATATTTTGGTGTTGGAGGAATTCTGCGCAGATTCACCTGATTCAGAACCTGATTTAAAAGGTTTACAGGGTGTCGTGATAAATCTTTTAGTAGGAAGGTGGGGACAGGGGTGTGTAATGGTGATGGTGCTTGTAACGTTTCCTATATACATCACTAGAAAGGAAATAATGCAATGCATGAAGCGATTCTGACTTAGTCTCAGGTTTGTTTGAGGAAGCAACCGACTCAGACACATGTACTAGTTCACCAGCTATTCAAATAAGTGAACTTGTGTCCTTTTGTGTTAACGAGTCTCTTATTTTTGGTAGACAGAGGAGTCCAGGAAAGCAGGAAAGTAAAGTTGAGGCCACAATCAGATCAGCCTTAATGTTATTGAATAGCATGTGGAAAGAAATTTCATAACATGGCAGCACAGTGACTCAGTGGTTAGCACAGTACCAGGGACCCAGGTTCTAGTCCAGTCTTGGGCAACTGTCTGTATGGAGTTTGCATGTTCTCCCGTGTCTGCACAGGTTTCCTCTGGGTGCTCCAGTTTCTTTCCACAGTCCAAAGGTGTGCAGGTTAGGTGGAGTGGCCATGCTAAATTGCCCCATATAGTGTCCAGGAATGTGTGAGCTCGGTGGATTAACCAAAGTAAATGCAGGGTACAGGGATAGGGTGGAGGGTCGGTCTGAGTGGGATGTTCTTTGGAGGTTCATGCAGACTTGATGGGCCGAATGGCTTCTTTCTGCATTGTAGGGATTCTATGATTCTAAGTGATTAAATGACTTGATGATCAGCCCAGGCTACCTTCCACCACCTCCCAATTGCTCTATAAAAAGGGGGAAAATAACGAAGGAATGGTAAACAAAGAACAGAATGGCCGACCTTAATGGTAATCTTAAAGAACAACTTAATTCTAACTCTGGAGGAGTCCAAAAGAAGGGGATTATAACATTAAAATTTGAGCCAAGCTATTCACATGTGATGCTAGGAAGCACTTCCTCACACAGAGGGGAGTGGAACTGTATCTCCCAATAAAATCGTTGATGTTGAAGGTCAATTGAAAATGCTAAGGCTGAGATCGATAGATTTTCCTTGGAATTCCTACAGTGTGGAAACAGGCCATACAGCCCAACAAGTCAACACCAACCATCTAAAGAGCATCCCACCCAGACCCATCCCCTTACCCTATCCCTGTAACCCTGCACTTCCCATGGCTAGTGCACCTAACCTCCACATCGCTGAACACAATTGGACAATTTAGCATGGCCAATCCATCTAACTCGCAAATCTTTAGACTGTGAGGAAACCGGAGCACCCAGCAGAAACCCACACAGACAGTCGCCCAAGAGTGGAATTGAATCCAGGTCCCTGGTGCTGCAAGGCAGCAGCTCTAACCACTGAGCCACCAAGGGTATCGCAGGTTAGAAAACCAAGGTGGGTAAAAGGAATTAAAATCTAAAGCAGACACAAGGCTATTTGAATGGCAAAACAGGGTGGAGAGCTTGAATAACCTCTACCTGTTTGGATTTCCAATGACATTTTCCACCTAGAGCAAGTCAAAAAACAAATCCCAAAGCACATTATAGAAAGGATGAATTCTCTGTAATGGGGCCCATCAAAGCTACTTTCTGTATTCACGCTTTTCAATGTCTGTTCACTCACCACTTCCACATTTAGCAGCCCCTTATGGCTCTTCAGAGCTGCCAGTGACTGGAGGAAAGGGAACATGGATGGGTTGGAGTGTGACCAGCAGCTGATTAGGAGCCGTACTTTCACTTTCCGCTCAAATGCGGCCTTCCGCAAACGCGTGTCGATATCTGGCCAATATCTACAAATGAAGGTGAAATTGTATTAGGCAGTGCCAACCTTGCTAACTGATCACCGAGGACCACCGGGGGTATATCTGGACCCATCACAAGGTTCACTGGGCCCGATTTTGTCATTTATGTAACACTGTTCACAACCTCCAAAAGACAGCATAAAGAGGTCATTAAGCCCATCAACTCTGCTTCATCATTCAATGAGATCACAGATAATCTGATAACCAACTCCACTTTCAGTCCTTTTTCCAATAATCCCCGATTCCCTTACTGATTTAAAAAAGTCTACTCTTAGCCTTGAATATACTTAATGACTCAGCCTTGACCATTCTCTGTGGATGTGCAACCCCTTATTCTGAGATCATCTGGTCCTAGACTCTCTGACAAGAAGAGACCACCTCTCCACACCTACCCTCTCTAGTCTGCCTCTCATTGTCTTAAATTCCAATGAGTATATTCCAACCTACTCAGCCTCTTCTCATAGGAGAGTCCTCCCTACCTGGGATCAATCTAGTGAACCTTCTCCAGACCGTCTCTGATCCCCAGTAATATAGTGTCAGAGTTGCACAGCAAAGAAACAGAACGTTTGGGCCAACTCGACAAGATATCCTAAATTAATCTAGTCTCATTTGCCAGCATTTGGTCCATATCCCTCGAAACCCTTCCTATTCGTATACCCATCCAGGTGCCTTTTAAATGCTGTTATTGTACCAGCCTCCACTACTTCCTCTGGTAGTTCATTCCACACACACACCACCCTCTGCATGACAAAGTTGCCACTTAGGTCCCTTTTATATCTTTTCCCTCCCACCTTAAGCCTATACCTTTAGTTTTGGACTCCCCAACCCTGGGAAGGAGACCCTGTCTATTTATCCAATCCATGCCCCTCATGATTTTATAAACCCCTATAAAGTCACCCCTCAGCCTCCAGTGCTCCAGGGAAAATAGCCCCAGCCTATTCAGCCTGTCCCTATAGCTCAAAACCTCCAACTTGGCAACATCCTTGTAAACCTTTTCTGCACCCTTTCAACTTTAACAATATCTTTTCAATAGCAGGGAGACTAGAATTGAATGCAGTATTCCAATAGTGGCCTAACAATGTCCTGTTACAGCCGCATCATATCATCCCAACTCCTATACTCAATTCACTAACCAATAAAGGCAAGTGTACCAAATGCCTTCTTCACTACCCTGTCTACCTGCAACTCCACCTTCAAGGAACTATGAATCTGCAACCCAAGGTCTCTTTTATCAGCAACACTTGCCAGGACCCTACCACTAGGTGTGTAAGTCCTACTCTTATTTGCCTTACCAAAATGCAATGCCTCACATTTACCTAAATTAAACTCCATCTGCCACTCCTCACCTAATTGGCCCAAAGTTATCTTATCTTTGTTTAGGGTCAGTTAGTGCAGTATGATTGACTCCAAGTGGTTATCATAAAGTAAATCATATTTTAAGACCTGTGTGCTATAAATATTGTTGTATATTTAAAATAAAGTGAAATAAGTACAATTTCCTAACTTATCAACTTTTTCAACATTTTATTTACAGGTATTGTGGTTTGAAAGACAAATTAATGCATCTCTGATACATCCCATCACAGTGTGATGATGGGCTCAGTGATTATTTTCCCCAATCCATAGTACAATTCACAAAGCTTGGTAAATGTTTGATTTGCTTTAGTTTTGACTCAGTACTGTAAGTTAATTTCAATAGTCTCTAGGATTTTGAATTAAACTTAATGTTCTTCAGTAATAGGACATGTTGAAATTTTTCCAATTGCACTGTAAGTGACAACTTTTGTTTTAGGAGGAACCGATTTTTAGTTTATTTTGTTCCCTTTACTTGTCACCATGAAAATATGCAATTTGTGTAGAAGCTCAATTTTTCTTTCTCGTGTAACAGTCTGTAAGCATTCATGTAAGCATTTTGATCCTAATGAAAAGATTGTTAAAATGGAGAGTTTTTGTTAATATAATGAAATCCTGTGATGTAATAGGTTGATTAAGCATTGAATGAATCTTAAATATCTTAGATAAGGGCCCAAAACTGTTCACAGTATTCCAGGTGTGGTCCGAGTAGTGCCTCAGAACATCCTAATGTTTTACAGCCAGTAAAGCACTGTTTTGAAGTGAAATAACACCTTTGGTATCCCACTTGGAGAAAACACTTCTTTGAATTGTTTATGATCCCCCTAGAGGATAATCAGGGGTTTTGGTTTAATTTATCTCATCAGAAGGATGGGTCAGGTTGACTGAGCCTACGGACATTATGTGGAGCTGGTCAAAGGTGCACATTCCCAGGCAGAGTTCTTGCTGAAGGGGGGAGCTCAGAAATGACATTGAATGTGAAAAAAAGTGGAGATGGCCAGAGCAGCGATTGATGGAACTTAACATAGAAAAGACAGAAATAAACAAAAGATATTCTCTCTGTGCATGCAGTTAAAATTACTGGGGATAAAGCCAAATGGGATATGGTAGTCTTGTTGCTGAATCGGAGAACAATTATGAACTCTCACAAACCAAGCAAGAAGGCAAGTCAGGACAAACTATACCTTAGAGAATATGTAATTCCAGGGCACCTTAGAGCAATGGCTCCTAAACTGTGGGTTGTGGCTTCATCTGATATCAGACAAACACTGAATAGGATCACGAACTCTCCCTCCTCCACTACTGCATCACTCACTGGCACTAAGGCCCAGGTGGCACCCAACCTGCCTCTTGTCCTGCTTATCACTCAGTCTCTTTTTGTCTGGACCATGGGCTCCTGCACATGGTTGCTCCATCAAATCTTGAAATTCGGTGACAACCACAAGCCCAGTGCCGGTGCTTCCGCTACTGAGGTATGGCCTGGCTCAACCCAACCATTAACCTAGCTCTGCAGAATGACCCGAGTTCTAAAATCAGTCAACTCAAGACCCTCAACCTATGCATTCATTATTCCCTGGACCAGGTATGGAGCAGCTCAGATGAAATACTGGACAGGTGAGAATTAAAATAACACTTTTACAAAACAGTTTAAAACCAAAAGTTTAATAATTATATACCAAATGGGGCAGTTTATGCAGTAATAATTGGTGAGTACACAAAATAACATTTTAACAAAATTTTTGAAAATATTTCCAAATTTCTATGTTTTATGTTGATCTATAATATCTAAACTTAATATTTAATTAATAATAAATAAATGCTTTGTTTTATTGTGCTTCTGTTTTTGCTGGTGTTCATGCTGATTTTCAAAAATTAAAATGGAAATACATTGGAAAGTTGTTTGGGAAGCATAGTTTATAGCTTTGTCAGCACCAGTGACTAAAATGTGTAGATTGCACAACAATTTTATGCAGACACATTGTTTAATGATGAAAGGAGGGAGTCTTTGACTTAGCTCAGTTGTACAATAAAGATTGCTCACTCAGCACTATTTTAACGATTTGCTTCATCTTAGGTGGGACAGCCCTTGGACACTGCACAGGTAAACATATCACATACCTACATTTAACTCAAGGAAATACTATTCTTGTTTAGTAACCAAGGTACTATTGCAGTTATACACAGAATTAAACAATACTCACATTCTGCTTTCAAGCTAAATACTTCACAAAGCATAAAAAAGATTAAAATTCACCTGCAGTTGCTGTATGACTGAGCATTGATGTCAAGTGCCCAATGACATTGTCTAGCTCTTACTACCAATCAAAAAATAATTAACAAAATATGAATTCCCAATTAGCCATGTGATTGGTGGCCAATGATCATTTCAGTGGGTGCATTCCAGCCTCATAGTCAGAAGTACAGAGTTGAAAGCCCACTACAGACTGAAGCTTCCAAACTCTCGCAATGAGACAAAAGCACCAAACAGCCCCTGAAAGATTATCTCAGGATGGTGCAAGTCTATTAAAGTCTGTGTCTTGGATCTCAAACATTAATAATTAGACCATTTGTCAAGAGTATCAAAATAACAGATGACCAGACAAGTTTCTCCTGAAGGTCTAATTATGAATGCTTGGATGAACTGATTCAATAATGGATTACTCATCAGGGGTCTGTTTTCACAGGGGTGAGTGGAGTTATTTTGAATGATTAGTATCTTCATGAGATTATCATAAATTATTAACTTGCCTTGAACTCTTTCAATGTCTGCAGCTTATTTGAATAAAGTCAAGAGCTGTGAAGATTCTGTTATTAACAATAGCTCTGATGAGCTTTTTCATAGAGTTACATGAACAGCAGCTTTTCTTTTCAAAGTTGATTCCTGAATAGAGTTTTGAAATCCATTTCAAGATTTTCCATGTCATTGTGTGTCTCATTAGTTCCACAATGCATACTGGGTGAGTGGAAGTCAATCATGCAGAGGGGCTACGGAAGTAGCATTGGGGTGTTCATGGAGTGCCTGAGAGAATGGACTGGCATAGGGATTGAACAGAGGGGTGAGGTGATATGAAGGGCGAGGGCTAGAGAAGCTAGATTAGATACAGCCTTAGATACAAGTAAGACCAAGTCTTAGAGAATTGAGGCAGGCTTTCGAACTAACCCATCTCCCCAACTCTTAACTGCTTCCAATGGCAGTCGACTAACTACATCCACCTTTCCAGAATGAAAATATGGTGGTCGGGTCCCTAGTGGTAAAGGCAGGTATCTCAGGGAATTACATAACTCAAGCTTCCTGTCTCAACAGGTGAAAATCTGGCCCAGAGAACAATTGAAAAGGAAGCTGTGCATTGACACACGTGTGCTGATACAAACACACATGGAAACACATGCACATAAATAGGATAATCTACATTGTCCACAATCAAGGGCTGCCGTTTACCTTTTGGGATAAGAGAACACTGTTACCGGAATATAATTCATGACTGCCACAAGCACAAACTTTTTTGCATCATCAATGATACTGAGAATGGAGGTAAGGTCATCAGTCCGTCCATCTGGGCACAATGCACGGGGAGAGCTCTGAAAGGAGAAAAGGAACGAAGACATGAAGACAACGCAACCCTATTCCCAAGAACAGCCAGACTGACACTATTAGGAGGGAGAGAAGCATAGCATATCAGTCCCTCAGAACTACTCCATCATTCAATGAGATCCTAGCTCATGTATTACCCTCTTGGTCTTCCCACCATATACCCCCAATTCCTTGAATCCCTTAGTATCCAAAAGACTCTGTCATTGTCTGTCTTGAAAATACAGAACGTCTGAAAATCCACAGCTCTCCAAATATCCCCCAGTATCTACCCTGCCTACCTTTCATCAATGCTCGAGGCTTCAGAGAGTTGCCCTCTCCCTTTATAAACCCCAGAGAATAAAAGCCCTCATCTGGTCATTCTGTCTTCATATGACAATCCCTTCATCCCAGGAGTCAACTGTCTGAACATTTGTGGCACACTGTCTAGGACAAGCAGATTCTTAAGGAAGGAGACCAAAATGGAACAGTATTCCAAGTGTGGTGTCACTAAGAGTCATAATACAATGCCAAAAAGACTTGATTACGCTTATTCTCCAATCCCTTTGTAAAAGCAGCTAACATAACATTGGGGAGGCAGTTATCCAGGATTCCAAGCTACTGTTCTGAGTACATGGGTTCAAATCTCACCAGATGGTATGAATTTGAATGTAACGAAAATCTGGAATAAAAAGCGAGTCTAATAGTGACTGCGTAACCACTGTTGATTGTTGTAAAAACCCACCTTATTCACTAATATCCTTTAGAGAAGGAAATCTGCCGTCCTTACTTGGCCTACATGTGACTCTAGACCCACAGCAATGTGGTTGACTCTTAATTGCCCTCTAGGTATTTACTGATAGGCAATAAACGATGGCCTAGCCAGCAACACCGTCATTCCAAGTAAGAGTAAAAAATACTGCTTTTTACTCCTGCATTTCAACTTTTGAGATTTGTGTACATTAACATTGGTAGATGGTGTCATAGCAGAAATGTCAATGAACTAATAATCCAGAGAACCAGACTAACGCCCTAGAACCAATCTAGTCTATCTTTAGTCCTGGTCTGGTCATTACCACGCACAATCACTCCAGTCAGCAAACAATGTGCTTGACATTTGAAACTTCCCCTTGAAAGAGTCAAACTTTTCAGGTACTCATATGTACCAAACCACTACAGAAGAGTTGCCAAATGATCAAGTTGACTGCTCACCATGAATTTCTCTGTTAGGGCCACCCATATCTCATGAACAGGTAATCAAAAAGCCTGACTAGCAAGTAAACTAACTCCAAACTGCTGAACTCCTGCTGTGCGTCTACGCAGTCTCCATGAAACCCACGAGAAGAAATGGGCAACATTTGGGAAGCTTACTGAGAAATAGACACTGGCTGGACTGTCATTGAGCTCCAGCTCCATAGGGTTTTTCTCATTGTAGGATGTTGAGTAATTACTAGGCCATCGAGATGGGATGCTGCTGTTGGACCCGCCGATATTCCAGTACTCCTCAAAAGTCTTGCCTAGATCCTCAGCCAGTTGGCTGCAGTTGAAGATGATGGCTCCCAGCTCTTTAACCTGTCAAAAGAATGTCAAGGTAAGGAAACTTGGCAAACATGAGCAATTGGGTGTTGAGCATCCTGAAAACAAAGCTCCTGATTAAAAAAAAAATGTATTTACATAACACTCTTCACATCTATAAAATGGCCCAAAGTGACCTAAGGATGTAATGGAGCGTTCCAAGGCACTTCACAGAAGTATTATGAAACAAAGTGTCATGTCAAGCCATACAAGATGGCCAGAATTTGGCTAAAGAAGTTGGTTTTAATTAGGGGGCTTAAAGGAGAAGTGCAAGGTAGAGAGGAGGACAGGTTTAGGGAGGGAATTCCAGCGCTTGGGGCTCAGACAGCTGAAGGTACAACTGTCAACGGTGGAACAATTAGAATTGGGGAAACATGAAAGGCAAGGATGAGTGGAACAGAGAGATTTCAGAGGATTGTGGGGTTGGAGAGAATTACTGAGATAGGGAGATGGTGGGGCCATGGATAGATTTGCAAACAAGGATACAAACAGAAACTATTTACTTGAACCCAGAGCACTGAAAGGCAGGAACAAGGTTCCTGACTCCACAATAATGCGCCTTTCTAATATTACGACAAATTGCTTTCATCTCCACATGCTCAAGTTGATCCCGCCACCTACCCTTAATCACTCCCTCCACAAATGCTCATTCTTTCCTCCTTTATTAATTGCGGGCAAATTGAGGCCAAGAGGCAATGTACCTGGGGTCTACTCTTCCCAGTCCCGATGCTCAGTTCATGCTATCTTGACTTTTCCTGTGAAGTCTCTAGGAAAATGGTCACCAGGCAGTGAGCAACTTGAGCATGGCAAAAGAAAGAAACATGCTGTCAAAGTTTTTCACTTTGTGCTCAGCAGGACAGAACTGCAAGTTTGCCAAATTTCAAAGGGAACAACAATTTATACTGCATGAAAGAAAGAGTTGGCAAATGGACTCTAATTGGTAGAGGCTTTGCTCTGGAAAATGCACCAGGGAACAGTTAATTGTGAAGCTTTTATTTTCAAACCAGGCATATCAATGCTGATTGATCAAGATTTTCATGAGGATGTCCCATATTTATTTGAAAAAGTTGAATGAAAAGGACAGCGATTTGAGAGTGTGTGTATATCTCACGGCTTCTAGCATGCATTATGAGCTTGAACTTTTCAGGCTTTGCCATTAGAGACAAGACTGCTGGCACTTCACATCTTAAGCTGTGCCAGTCCACAGCTTCTCCTCAGTACCTGGGTCAACGATCTCCAATCCATGTTAGCACTTCCAATGTATACATGTTTCCTGTCAACAATCCAGAATTTTGTATGTAGAACCCCAGCTGTCAGCCTGGGCATGTCCACAACCGTAAACTTAGCTCCTGTTGATAGATAAAACGCAGTCCAATAACCACATGTGTTATGTTCACTTGACAGTCAATGCAGAACTTGTATTTTTTTTATATTTAGTCAAGAGAGTCACTGGCTAGGTCAGATTTGTTGCCCATCCCTAAAAGCCCTTGAGAAGGAGATGACGAGCCATCTACTCAAACCACTGCAGTACTTGTGGCATAGGCAAACCCACAATGCTTTTAAAGAGAGTATTCCAGGAATGTGACACAGTGAACAAACGGTGGTATATTTCCAAGTCAGGACTGTTTGTGTACAGGTGGAGGGGAAATTACAAGTGGTGATTATTTTAATGGATCTGTTGCCATCAGCCTTCTTGGTAGTAGAGGTTGTCTGTTTGGAAGATCCTGTCAAAAGGTGCCTTGGTGAGCTGCTGTGGTACATCTTGTAAATAATACATACCATTGCTACTTTTGTACTAGTGGTGGAGGGACTGAATATTGAAGATGATGGATGGAGCGCTGATTAAGCGGGCTGCTTTGTCCTGGATGGTGTAGAGCTTTGTTAGGACAATCAGGTCATCCCAAAGTTTTTCATAGCTAATGAATTACTTTTGAAGTGCAGCCAACGTGGTAATATTAGAAACAGCAATCCACTGAGCACAGCAAGCCCAACCCCCACTCCCCAAAAAAAGAACAGGTAAAGTGATAAGCAGATAACCTGCCCTAATGAAGATAGTGGGATAAATATCAGCCACGGCACTAGACTGAGCCCCCATCTCAATATTGCCCTGGGGACATTTATCTTGGAGGCTTCTTTTACCTGATTTAGTCTCATCTAAAAGATAATAGCTTCCCTCAAAACTGCACTTGAGCATCAGACTGCACTTGTGCTCAAGTCTCCAGATTGATTATGAGTTGGGGGACACTTCCTATTAATCCACAGCTAACTCTGACAGAAAACTAGGTGGCAGGGAATTACAGAGTCATTAAATAACAGTCCAAAAAGAGGCCATTGTGCCTTTGGCACCATTACTTTGACAGAACAATCCAATTGATCACATATCGTGAGCCCTGAAGATGTTCCCTTCATGCATTTATTGGCAAATAGATTAGAGAAATGGTGGCATAATGGTAACGAAAGTTAGCCTAACGGTGACCATGTAACCATTGTTGATTGTCATAAACCCATCTGGTTCATTAATGTCCTTTAGGGAAGGAAATGTGTCATCCTTATCTGGTCTGGTCTACATGTGACTCCAGATCTATAAAAATGTGGATAACACAACTACCCTCTGATCAATTAAGGATAGGCAATAAATGCTGATCCAGCAATGATGCCCACATCACACGAATAGAGGAAAAAAAAACAGATTCTTCAAAAAACAATGACTCAAATTAGCACTCAAACACGTTGAAAAACTATCAGGGCTCAAAGCTTTGGTAAACATACCACTTTTCTTCAGAAGATCCAGGTCAGCCAGAGTTTCTGTCCTTAATGGTTTATTGACAGCGACACGCACGGACAGATTCTTAGAAACTTCCTGCAATTTCTGCAGAACCTCTTCACCCTGAAAGGACAAGTTATTTATCAAAATTGGAAGTGTGGCAAATAGGGAGGAAAATGACAGACTTCAGGAGAAGTCAGACAGGCCGGTGGGACAGATGAGCACAGCAAAAATGAAATTCAACCCAGAGTGGAGATGGTACATTTTGGTCAGAATGTTAGAATGGACAATATAAACTAATTTTTTTTTGAAAATTGTTCTAGGACATAAGTATTGCTGAGCAGACCAGTGTTTATTGACCATCCCTAATTGCCCTGGAGGTGGTGGTGGCCTTCGTGAGCTGCTACAGTCCACATGCTGTGGAGACACACACAGTGCTATTAAGGGAGGGAGTTCCAGGACTTTAACCCAGTGACACCGAAGGAATGGCCATACATTTCCAAGTCATGATCATGCGCGACTTGGAGGGGAATTCGAGTAGCGTTCCTATGTTCCTGCTCCCTTTGATCTACTGGAGGTCATAGGTGCACCAGAAACCTGGGTGGGTGATACAATCGTAAAGGAGATGCTAGAACAGACAGGCTTGTGGCTATTGGTGTACAAGTCTTTGAAGATGATGGAACCCAGGTTAATGAAACCACTAATAAAAATTGAGGGGATCCTGAACTTTATGAATCAAGGTTGAGTAGAAAAGACAGAAAATTATGCTAAGTTTCACAGAAAACACTCATTGAATGCCATCTAGAACACTGTATCCAATTCTGGACATGACACTTTAGGAAGGACATGAAGGCTGTGGAGATGGTACAGATGAACAGTTCTTAAACTGGGGTTAGGAATGAAGAAGCCAGGAGTAGGACATTCAGCCCCTCAAGCCTGCTCTACCATTCCAGACCATGCTGATCACTGACCTCCACTCCTCTTCCCCAGCTAGCCCCATATCCTTTGATATCATTGGTAACTAGAAATTGTTCTTTGGGCAGAAAGGCAATTTGATGATGGTGTTTAAAATCATGCAAGATTAAAAATAGAATAAAAGAAATGGCAGTTGTTTACAAGGAATGGAAAATCAATAATTAGAGGACACACTTGAAACAATTGGAAGTGGTACACAAAAGAAAAGCGGTTTTGTTCAAAGAGGATTTGGAATGCATTCTCCGAGAGGGAACAGCAAGTCCCTAATTTTGACCCAATCAACATCGTTGTACTTTGATGTCATTCATAACATAGCCATTTGCCTTTGTGTCATTCATTATGGCATTGTGCATGGTGCCTCAGTGGTTAGCACTGCTGCCTCAGAGCATCAGGGACCTAGGGTCGATTCCACCCTTGGCAACCGTATGTGAAGTTTGCACGTTCGTCCCATGTCTGCGTGGATTTCCTCCAGTTTCCTCCCACAGTCCAAAGATGTGCAGTTTAGGTCGATTGGCCATTCTAGATTGCCCATATAGTGTCCAGGGATGTGTAGGTTAGGTGGATTAGTGCATGGTAGACAAAGGAGTCCAGGAAAACAGGAAAGTAGAGTTGAGGCCACAATCAGATCAGCCTTAATGTCACTGAATAGCATGTGGTAAGAGATTTCATAACATGGCAGCATGACAGCTCAGTGGTTAGCACAGTAACAGGGACCCAGGTTCTATTCCAGACTCGGGCAACTGTCTGTATGGAGTTTGCACGTTCTCCCATGTCTGCATGGGTTTCCTCTGGGTGCTCCAGTTTCTTCCCACAGTCCAAAGATGTGCAAGTTAGGTTGATTGGCCATGCTAGATTGCCCAGTGTCCAGGATATGTAGGTTAGGTGGATTAACGCATGGTTAGTGATAGGGTTCGGGGCATGTGTCTGGGTGGATGCTTTTTGGAAGATCTGTGTGGACTTGATGGACCAAATGGTCTGCTTCCACATGGTCATCACATATTTCTTATTCTGTTCCCTGCAAAATTTTCTACCTGCCCTTTATTCCCCTTGATTAAAAATCTGTCCAACTCAACCTTGAAAATATTGAATGACAGTGCCCTTCCTTGGAAAAACCCATTTCAAAGACCAAAAAAAAACTCAAGAAATGTATCCACAACCCCATCTTAAATTGAGAAACCCCTCATTTTTAAATGGTTCTGGATTCCCTTGCAAGGGGAAACATGCTGTCAAGCCACCCTCAGCATAGTATAGTTTTAAAATAAAATCTCTCATTCTTCTAAACTCGGTCAAGTAGGGGGTTGACTACGTAAACAAGCATCTATGTTAAACTGATGTAATACATGTCATAAAATGACGGAGAGGGTCTGAAGAGAGAAGCAAGAGTCTGAACCTTGTGCTAAGTCTATGTGTACATTGTTAATAAAACGGGAACAAAGACTTACTTTGAAAAGGGTAGGCGATAGCCTAGTGGTATTTTCGCTAGACTATTAATGCAGAAACCCATCTAATGTTTTGGGGAGAGAGAGAGAGATAGTCGGAACTGCCGATGCTGGAGAATCTGATGTAACAAGGTGTAGAGCTGGATGAACACTGCAGGCCAAGCAGCATCAGAGGAGCAGGAAAGCTGACGTTTCAGGTCTAGACCCTTCTTCAGAAGGGGACCCAGGTTCGAATCCCAACACAGCAGATGGTGAAATTTGAATTCAATAATTAAAAAACATATGGAATTAAGAATTGCCAAATCATTACCGATTGTCGGAAGAACTCATTTAGGTCACTCACGTCCTTCAGGGAAGGAAATCTGCCACCCTCACCTGGTCTGGCCGACACGTGACTCCAGACCCATAGCAATGTGGTTGACTCTCAACTGCCCTCTGAGATGGCCAAGAACACCACTCAGTTGTACCAATCGCTACAAAGTCTCGAAGAGCTGAACGCCTGGAATTGACCTAGGCACCGGAAAAGACAAGAACAGAAACAGCCCTATCAACGCTGCAAAGTCCTCCTCACTAACATCTGGGGTTAGTGCCAAAATTGGGACAGCTGTTTCACAGACTAGTTAAGCAACAGCCTGACAGTCATACTCACAGAATCATACCTTACAGACAACGTCCCAGACACCACCGTCACCGTCCATGGATATGTCCTGTCCCACCAGCAGGACAGATCCAGCAGAGGTGGCAGCACAGTGGTATACAGTCAGGAGGGCGTTGCTCTAGAAGTCCTCAACGTTAACTCTGGACCCCATGAAGTCTCATGGCTGCAGGTTAAACATGGGCAAGGAAACCTCCTGCTGATTACCATATACCATCCTCCATCAGATGAAGAATCAGTACTCCCCCATGTTGAACAACACTTGGAGGAAGCACTGAGGATGGCAGGGGAACAAAATGTACTCTGGGTGGGGGCTTTCAATGTCCACCACCATGAGTGGCTCAGCAGCAGTACTACTGATTAAGCTGGTCAGGTCCTAAATGACAGCTGCTAGACTGGGTCTGTACCAGGTGGTGAGGGAACCAACAAGAGGGAAAAACATACTTGATCTCATCCTTGCAAATCTGCCAGCTGCAGTCGCATCTATCCATGACAGTATCGGTAATAGTGACCATCACACAGTCCTTGTGGAGACAAAGTCCCACCTTCACACTGAGAATAACTTCCATCGTGTTCATCATAGAATAAATGATACAAATTGTGTGGCACTATGACCGTGCTAAATGGGACAGACTTCACACAGATCTAGCAACTGAAGACTGGGCAACCATGAGATACTGTGGGCCATAAACAGCAGCAGAACTGTACTCCAGTACAATCTGTAACCTCATGGCCCAGCATATCCCCCACTCAACCATGCCCATCAAGCCAGGGGATCAACCCTGGTTCAATGGAGATTGCAGGAGGGCATGCCAGGAGCAGCACCAGGCATACTTGAAGATGAGGTATCAACCTGGTGAAGCCACCAAACAGGACTACTTGCACGCCACACAGCGAAAGCAGCAAGTGATAGACAGAGCTAAGCATTCCCACAACCAACGGATCAGATGTAAGCTCTGCAGTCCTGCCACATCCAGTTGTGAATGGTGGTGGACAATTAAACAACTCACTGGAGGAGGAAGCTCCACAAATATCCCCATCTTCAATGATGGAAGACCCCAGCATATCAGTGCAAAAAAATAAGGCTGAAGCATTCACAGCAATCTTCAGCCAGAAGTGCTAAGTGAATGATCCATTTCGACCTCCTCCAGCGGTCCCCAGCATTACAGATACCAGTCTTCAGACAATTCAATTCACTCCATGTGATATTAAGAAACAATTGGAGACAGCAAAGGCTACGGCCTGGACAACATTCCGGCAATAGCAATGAAGACTTGTGCACCAGAACTTGCCGCTCCCCTAGCCAAGCTGCTCCAGTACAGTTACAACACCAGCACTTATCCGACAATGTGGAAAATTGCCCAAGTATGTCCTGTACACAAAAAGTAGGACAAATCAAACCCAGACAATTACCGCCCCATTAGTCTACTCTCAATCATCAGTAAAGCGATGGAAGGTGTCATCAACAGTGCTATCAAGCAGCACCTGCTCAGTTTGGGTTCTGCCAGGGCTACTCAGCTCCTGACCTCATTACAGCCTTAATTCAAACATAGACAAAAGACCTGAATTCCAGAGGTGAAGTGAGAGTGACAACCCTTGACATCAAGGCTGCATTCTACCAAGTATGGCATCAAGGAGCCCTAGCAAAATTGGAATCAATGGGTATCAGGGGGCAAACTCTCCAGTGGTTGGAGTCATACATGACACATAGGAAGACAGCCATGGTTATTGGAGGTCAATCATCTCAGTTCCAGGACATCTCTGCAGGAGTTCCTCAGGGTAGTGTCCTCAGTCCAACTATCTTCAGCTGCTTTATCAACGACCAACTCAATGCCCAGAAGTGGGGATGTTCGCCAATGATTACACAATGTTCAGCACCATTCAGTATCACTCAGATACTGAAGCAGTCAATGTTCAAATATCCAGGCTTGGGCTGACCCATCTCCTGACTCCTCAAAGCCTGTCCACCATCTACAAGGCACAAGTCAGGAGTGTGATGGAGTACTCCCCACTTGCCTGGATGAGTGCAGCCCCAACAACACTCAAGAAGGAGCCGCTTGATTGGTACTACATCCACAAGCATCCTCTCCCTCCACCACCGATGCTCAGTGTGTACTATCTAGAAGATGCACTGCAGAAATTCACCAAAGATCCTCAGACAGCACCTTCCAAATTCACAGTCACTTCGAACTAGAAGGACAAGGGCATCAGACATATGGGAACATTGCCACCTCCAAATTCCCCTCCAAGCCATTCACCAACCTGACTTGGAAATATATCGCCGTTCCTTCATTGTCGGTGAGTCAAAATCCTGGAATTCCCTCCCTAATGGCATATGGGTCAACCTACAGCAGGTGGATTGCAGCAGTTCAAGAAGGCAGCTCACCACCAACTTCTCAGGGACAACTAGAGATGGGCAAGAAATGCTGGCCAGCCAGCGACGCCCACATCCCACAAATGAATAGAAAATAAAAAGACATTAGACTCCAGAGAGTTTGCCAGTGACGTAATGCATCCAACTTCTTACGACACCACCACCACACAATGAGAGAAACTTCAATGAGTATAGGCCCATTCCTTCCTCACAAAACATTCATCCCAGAAATCAGCTGAGTGAATCTCCTCTGAACCATTTCTAATACAAATCTGACTGATGTTGAACATTTCCCAAGGCTGTACCTGGTAGGCAGAAGGTTCTGATGTATTTGTGTCTTTGTTTTGCATGGTCCAGTAGAAGGAACTGATCTCAATGCTTTTCTCTGCTTCCCTCAGCAACTTCATCCAGCCTTCAAAAATAGATGGGTTCACAGTGGAGTTAGGCCCAAAATGCATCCCCTCTGGAATACTCTCAACGAGGACAAGACTGCAAGCATAAGAGACAACATAAGAATGTATCAGCTCGTGGAACCTTGTGTTTCAACAGAAGATGAACAGTAAGTTTAAATGCTGTAACAATCATCGCTTTGACCCAGATTATGTACAGGTAATGCTGCAATCAATTGCACAAATACCAAAGGATGTTGCAATTCACTGTTTACTTTCAAGTTCATACAGGACGCTTTATCACCCTTTGACTTACCAAGGATCCCTCTGGGGGCATCGCAGAGTCTGCTATTCCCCCCCACACCATTACCTATAGGTGAAACTGGGGTCCCAGCCAATTTCCTGGGTACCTGCATGAGTCAGACCAGCCCAACTCTATATCAGCAGCAGCTTTTCTGATCTCACTGGGGATGTGGATCTTGTCCATTTGGTGGTTGTAGGGGAACAGCAGTAACTGCACCATCATCAGGAGGATGAGAATGACAATCACGGTCAACACCAGCACTGCATCTCGGTAGATCTGGAGAAGAAGATACAGACTTTAGAATCTCTGCTGTCTGCAGCATCAGTGTTACCTCCCCATAGGCTCCAGTGAGACTCATTACCTAGAGTAAAGCATCACTTCCCCATCCTTACCAAACAGTGAGCAATAATTGCTACAGGCAAGCATCAAGGTCAGAAAGGCTAGGATTGTTGCTAAATAGAAGACCAATCAGTCCCTCAAGCCTGTTCTGCCATTCATTTAGGTGAGTGACCTGCACCTTAACTCTGGAGGGAACATCCACCTTCCTAGGAAAAGTTCCTAAACTTGAAATGTTAAATCTTTCTCTCTCCACAGAGAATACCAGACTTGCTGAGTACTTCAAACATTTTCTGGCTTTATTTCAGATTTCCTGCATTCACAGTATTTTACTTTTCAACTCCACTATCCACCTTGCTTCTATCACTCTTAATTCCCTTACCTAATAAAATCTTCCATCTCACTTTTACAAAACCTCAAATTGTTGCCTCTCAATAGTTATATTTTTTTTGAGGAGGGGGGGCAAGAAGAGAGAAAGAGCATGAAAAACAACATTACACTGCCTAGTTCTGGAGTCTCCCACCAATTAACCCCATCAGATCCTTTAATCATCTTAAACTTTTTTTTTTAAAATCACTAATCACTCATTGAACTGCGGTGCGGGAGGGAACGAATGCTTTGTCTGCATAATGTTCCTGCTTGTGTTACTGAAGTAAGGAAAACATTCACTAATAAATAATTTCATTTTACCACAAGCTGCAAGACAGCAGGATCATGTGACATTACATCACACCCTGTGATAAAATATGCTGTGTTTCATTAGGATATCATAGACAGACAAACCTCATGTACCACATCTTCCCTCAAGTCTTTGATTTTAACCATGATATTACAGACTATGCAACCTGACCTCTAGATTCATCCTTTTAGGCCTTGCTTTTGCTTGTTGGCATGAAAACAGGCAACAGATTAAGACGTCAGCTCTGAAGACCCCATTCCCCCTGACACCCAGAACATAGTCTCTAGATTCCACACCTTCTGCAATCCGGAATTCCACGGGCTACAGTTCCCCTTCCCATCAGGAAAGGCTGATGGTGGCTTCAGCTGAAGCAGAAAAGAAGAAAACATTTGTTAAATGACAGGTTGTGGGGGCCCTGCTCCCCAACATTCCCTAGGACCTTGGCGCATCATTCATATGTTAAGACTAAGTTCAGATGTGGAGCACGAGGGTGCTGATTGACTGCGGAAACCATCATGATTGAACCTGTTTGTGCCTTTACCCGATGATTACCCCACACAGACACACACCCACAAGAAGTTAAGAAACAGGAGCAGGTGTGGACTGTACCATTCCTTGGGCCTGCTCGGTCATTCAATACAATTATAGCCAATCCAGTCATTCAATTCAATCTTCCTATTAATTCTGTATTACCTTTCAAGTCTAAAGATCTATTGATTGTTGTCTTGAATCAACTGAACATATCCAGTTTTGTGGCAGAGTTCTAAAGATTTACAACCTTCTGGATAAAGAAATTTGTCTGTATCTCACTCTTAA